CAATATCGTCGGTATCTTTCAACAGGTAACTTCCATCGGTATCTTTCAACCGGTAATCGTCATCGGTATCTTTGAACCGATAATTATCATCGGTATCTTTGAACCGGTAATCATCATCGGTATCTTTCAACCGGTAATGGGTATCTTTCAACCGGTAATTGGGGACTATTCCATCCCCTACCACTATGTAACATCAAGATATAAACATACAGTTAGGCATATCCGGGTACTGACCTACCCTTCGGTCCTAAGGACCGTTGTTAGGGAAAATGATCCCTACTATACACATAACATATCATACAGATAAATCTCATAATCCAAGCACATAACCAGACCAAGATAATTATCACAAAGACCATCATCTCCTAATTATTCCTCTTTGGTGGGCCGACATTGTGACCTTAGACCCACCCCTACTGGAAGGTAACTCACCTCGTACGAGTAGCTGTTGATAATATGTCTTTGGGCACTTTTATTCAATTTGTTGTGATACAATACATGAAAGTCATTCACTCTCAGACGTTTCCGTCATCCTGGTTTGGGGTGTGACATAGCGACGACTATGGTGGTGATGACGGTTGTGGTGGTGCTGGTGTTGGTGTTGGGGTGGTGGTGATGATTGTGATGGTAGGTTGGTGATTGTAGTAGTAGTGTTGGGCAGGTGGGTGTGTGTGTTTGTGGGGGGTGGAGGTGGGGTGTGTGTTTATGTGTATGTGTGTGTTTTCGGGGGTATGGGTGTGGGTTTGTAGGGGTGTGGGTGTGTGTTTGTCAGGTTGTGTGTGTTTGTGTGTGTGTGTGTTTATGGGGTTGGGGTGAGCTTGGGAGTATGTAAGTTTGGGTAGGTAGGGGTGTGGTCGGTTGGGGGTGTTAAAGTGAGGGTAGGTTGATGTGGGTGGGGTCGGAGTGGGTTATTTGTATTTTAGAAAAAATTTTGAATTAAAAAAATGCGGAAAACAATTATTATCGGTTTTCCAAAATTTTCAAACTTATTTGTAATTTTAGGAAACGAAAAATTTTCATCTTCCGTGAAAAATTTAGAAAAATAGATGAACTAAACGCGTTTTGAAAATCCTCATTTTTTATGAATTTTTTTTTTCCGAAAAATAGTATATTTTTCCACAACTCAACACACCCTAATCGTTTCCACTGTATACCCGAGAGTCTTACATATTCCAAAATAAATAATAATAATAATAATATTAAATAATAATAATAATAATAATAATAATAATAATAATAATGAATCTATGGAAAAAAATGAAATCATCAAAGATCGGATAAGACAAAAGGGCGTGGGCACAGATAATATAAGTTTTATCTACAAAAATTTGACCACGTTAAATTATATTTTGACATGTGTCAAATCATGGATAAAGTCTAAGCTGATATTTCACTCAAAATAAAAGAATGGATAATTTTAATTGCACGAAAAATATTCTAAATATACGAATTAAGAGTAAGGTCATCAACATCAGTGTAATGTCACTAATTTTTCGATTGTGTCACACCAGCTTTGTAATGACTACTCACATCAATGCAATAACACTTATCTTTCAAAAGTAGTCCCCACTGCCACATCAACAATTACTTTATATATATATATATATATATATATATATATATATATATATATATATATAAACATTTTTTCAATAATAAATTAACATAAATGTAATTATTATAATATTAAATTTTTCTTTAAAATGATCCCACTAAAAACTAAAATTGATGGATTAGTTACTAAAAAAGATTTTGATAACTCATTATTTAATTATTAACTATTATAAATTGATAATTTAAACGGTCGATCATTTAACCAAATAGCCATTTAACCATATGGTTTGGTCATTATTAGAAACCAATTATGTTTAATATTTGTATGATTTTAAACGCGAGATGAAAATAATCTTTCTAAAACTTATCAATGGAAAAAATATGTCTACAATGCCGACCGATTTCCCATGAGGGGATTCTATCCCTAAATTCTAAGATAACCTTCACTACACTTCATTAAGATGATTCTCTTTCAGCTAAAGGCCAAAAAATCACCTTTATGCTAGGCCGGTTTTAAGGATTTTGTTATTTGATGACAATTAGGAATCAATCGGAAATTCGATAACGAAATCTGTGGAAAGATGACAAGATTATGTGGAAAAACATCATATATATATATATATATATATATATATATAATATATATATATATATATATATATATATATATATATATCATGGTTGTAAAAATCGGTCTAGGCGGCCGATTAATCGGCACCTAATCACTTGGCGGACTCCAACCGCTTACGAATAGTTGTTATCGGGTAAGCTAATCAGCCTTGGTCAATATCGGTAAAAGACAGTCCAAATTGAACTAATTCGTCCAAACTCAGACCTAAAATCGGACCAGAATGACTCCAACCTGCCAACTCAAAAGAGCCCGCTTGCCTAAAATATAGTTGGGTCGGGTTTTCTTAGCCTACCAAGTAGTCGGGTTTGATTTTTTAAAGGAACTAACTATCCTTTTATAAGGTATGTGTGTCTTCAATTATTGTCCTACCAACGATGTGGGATGCAAACATGATACTTTCTTCTTCATTGGAAACACGAGCAATGTGGGATGCAAACACGTAACTTCCTTCTTCACAACACCATCAAACACCCTCTACACCACCCTCCTTCTTCGCTGGAAACACAAAACTCCCCTAAGATTAGGTCAAGATGAAATTTGTCAGTTCATAATCTAGGATTAGGTTGAGATGAAATTTCCCCAGGATCCGTCGAACATTCACCTTGAAGACGATGATCATCCGCCATGGAAGCGTGGTGGTTGTTAGGATTTTGTTTAATTGTTTATAGTCTAAATTCGATTTCGTTTACATGATTACATCTAATCATTTGTTTTTATCTGTAATTTTAATTTTAAGCTTTGTGGATGCGTCGACGTCCTGATTCTAACACCGTCTGCCTATCGACCTAACCTCGATGACCTGATTTGCACTTCACTGCCGCCGTTCGCAACCCGTTGCCCTCTTCCGCCCTATTGGAAGATGTATTGCCTTAGAAGCAAATCTATAGAGCCCTGCTAGCAAATCTGCCTCGTGGGTAATCCATCTCTTACATATTGGTTTTTGAATCTTAGTTTCATGTTTCTTAGTTCTTCAATCTCAACATTGATTGGTTTTATGTGTGTATGGTGGTTTAGATGATTAGGAAATTGCTCGATTAGTGTATGAAACCACCTGCCCACCAAGTGTTCGATCAATTGCCTGAGTGAATCTTGTAGTCTTGATTATCAAAGAAAAGTATTGGTATTCATGGGTTCTTGATTAAAACTTTAGCAATATGTATTGGGTTTAACTCTTGTTGTTGGAATATATGCTACATATAATAATGGATTGGTTATGCATACATACACTGATAAACATACATGTAATATGAAATGATTGGTGAAATCATGCCTCACAAGAATGGATTGTGCATTGCAGGACATAAGAATGGACTGGTTATGAACTCAAAATGAAAGTTTTAATGCTGATAAGGTGCAATAACATGCTCATAAGTTGAAATAATGTTTCACAATAATGGATTCTTCTTGTTTTCATTTGATAACTTAGATCCAAATGCAATAATTGGTTATTTAGATTTGGTGTATTAAGGATCAAAGGGTTTTTTTTTTGTAATCATAGTTTGTTTTTATGATGCTATCTTTATTTATTTTTTAATAGATATAATGTTATATTTATTAATTTTATATTTTTAGGATTAATGTTATATTTAACAAATTTTTGATAATTTTTTAATAATTAATGGTCACTCATTAATCCCCGCCTAGACGATTAATCGCTTGACCCCAATCCACCACCGAGCTACCGTCGAGCGATTTCTGCAACCTTGATATATATATACTAGTAGGCTACCCACGCGATGCGGCGGCGCTAGATAATTCATTTCAGACGACAGTTTTCATCAGACAATTAGTTTCATTTTCGTGTTAGTTTATTTCAGTCTTTTAGCGTATTCTTTTGTGTCATATAGTTTCTTTCAGCGAATAGTTTCTAGCTAGGTACGTAGATGCAAGAGTTGAATGGTTTTTATCCGGTGTTATCTATTTCTATGGTTTTTATTTTACACATAATTGCTAGGGATGTGTATAAAGCTAATAAAAAAATAAAAAACTAATATGTTTTTGAAAACGGACGATGATGGTTTTTTTTCAAGCATATTGTTCCCGATAATGTCTTTTTGAACGATACCAAGTATTTTGCATCACATTTTAAACATTATAATATACACTCAGGTACCCATACAATGCGACAGACGATGGATACAATGGCACTGGAAAAATTCTTTTCATAAACAGTTGGTTATTTTTAAAAAAATATAAGGATAAAATGCTAATTAATTTGATTTTAATTAGTTGTATTTGTTAAGTATTTTACAAAAAACACAAATCAATAAGTTAAATTATTTATCGAAATGTAATAAAAGTTAAAGCAAATAAAGATTTTTTAGTTATTTATTAGCAACAGGTTATATAAATAGGTCGTAAATCATGATTGTGAAATTGATATCAATTTTTTTCATATTCGTTATGAATATTTTATTATTATTATTATTATTATTATTATTATTATTATTATTATTATTGCTTTTATAATGAGATCACGCATGAGCTCCCCATAAATATGGTTTTTAGATAGCAATTTTCTTCCTTTTAAAAAAAATAATAACTGATATAAGATAATTCTTCATTTAAAAATTATATAAATCAAATTTTATCTTTTAATTTATATGGAATCTTTCCTACATCTAAAAAAAATTAAATTGTTTATTCTATGTAAATTAAAAAATTCATAAGGCATATTTAATGTGAAATATATTAAATTTCCTAAGTTTCTATATTTGATTGTTTATTATCATTTTTATATATGTATGTTTCCTTAATTCGCAGTATCCTGTCAAGTTTGCAAAAGAGTTTGAGGAATTTTGGTTTCAATTTAATGCCCTTTAGGATTTAAAAAGCCTATGCATTTCATAGTAATCTATTCCTAAATGATTATAAAATCATAACAAACCTTAAAAATAAAGAAATATTTTAGTATGACTGAAGCTCTGAAAGAATAAATATATACAATGACATTAATGTCAACAGAATCATGAATTCCCAGCACAATAAGATTGACTTGCCCAGCATCATAAGAAGAAGCTAAAACCAAAAGAATGACATATGTCAGCCAAATTCAAAGCCAAAAATATGAATGTGCGTACATTGTCATTACTGCATTCAACCTGTTATATTGCATTCATTCTATTTTTCTTTTATTTTTATTTATTTCTTTCCTCTCTCGCCATCTTTTCTTGAAATCATCGGTTGTCGTCTTGTGGTTATCTGCAAATTAATATTTACATATCAACATATCTATATCTTGATGTTAATAGGCAAATATTCTTGATGTGATATCATGAATTGTGATTTAAAGGCTTCAAACAAATAAGGATAAAAGGAAGCCATGTATAACAATTTTCAAACTTAGACAGATAAGGATAAAGTGAAGTCCTCTATCTCTAAGCCTCTTTAGTCCTTTGTCATCTAGATCATCACACTATTAAAAGGACAAATAAACCCTTATCTCCTTTATAGGGACTCAAAAAGTAAAAAATATTCATTTTGGACGATCTGCAATTGGGGGAAATGATCATAAAGTGTGAGAGTTTTGGGTTAATCACCTGAGGCCATGGTTTATAACTTTACCATTTCCACCCGTTATTCATTGACCTAAGCAGAACAGTATGTGAACTTGGTAAAACAATAATCTTTCATTTATGTGAACACAACAACTTCAAAACCAAGATGTCTCTTAATAGAACTTGACATGGATCTTTACCTTGCAAAGAGATGAACCATCAAATCAATGTAAAATCTACCATGACCAAGTCCATCATGCTATTAGAGAATTCAAATTTCTGTGGAAAATAGAAACATAGATATGCTCAATTTTTTTTACAAAAATAGTTATGTAACAGTAAATGGTTCCGTAATATAGTGAAAATAGTAGTACTTTCCAAAAATCAGAAGTCCATCTGGATCCTTTTGGGAACCAGGAACCAAATTAAAAGGATTTTCATTTTGAATCTAATTTGGTTTTCTTAAGATATATTTTTCAATAAAATGGATCATTGTGAGATAAAAGTTATGAGGGTAAATCTGGTAAGAAAGAGTACACTAAATTGTGAATGTGAGGGTAAAATTGTCATAATTAATCAAATACTTGATTCTAACTTGTTTATCAACAACATGGGCATAAATGATTCCCCAAATCGGTTGGACCTACATTTAAATTCTCAAAAGTGCCAGCAATCTTTTTAATCAATGGTGTACCTGTAGCTCAAGAAAACTTAAAAAAATCTCGTTTTTCTTATTTTACAAACAATAAATCACTAAAAAAAACAATAAGTTGAAGAAAATTCAAGTAATGGAAAGAACAAACCCATCAGCTCCTGTCATTCCAAATAATCAAAGCAAATATGCAATAGAAACCTAAACACCACTAATAAAAACATATAAACACACGAAATTAGGAGAATATTAACATGTTATTCTGGCCAATTTGTTAAAAACCTTGACATGAAGTAAAAGTAGCCATCTTAGTGTTTTGTTAGGTGAGTACTGGAAAACAGATTCAATGAACGGTCGATTGTAATGAAATTTTATTTGAATATCCTCCCAATCATGCCATCACAATTAGGTTGTAATGCTTCATAATTGATGTAGATATTAGAAATTGATAAAATAAACACAATAAACATAATCATAACCTAAACCCGAATTTCAAAAATCCATACTTGTGATGTGAATATAAAGTTTACCAGAGAGAGGACATTTGTCGATGGTGGTAAGGTGTTTGAGTGACCAGAAAGAGATAGAGAGCTGATGCTCAATGTTAGTGTGTGTTCCTGATTCAATAGTTTAGGGAGATAAGAAAACACACACACATAGATAAGCAGTTATGGTGTGGTTATGGTGGTGAGGATGAAGGAGGCAAATTGTAGACTTCATGAATAATACATATAAAAAATTAGAAGCATGATTATTAAGAGGGAAAAAAAGACAAACCTGGTGAATTAGAAGGTACTTTGAACCTGGTTGGGATGATTCTGCTGATTTCTCCACCAATCACACTTTAAACTCTAAAAAAATCACAAAGTGAAATCAGAAACAGATATCAACATAGATGGAAGAAGATTAACCTTTTAAGTGGATTGAGAGTAAAAGCGATGGAACTGCAATGAGAACAGGGTTTCTTTCTATGTCATTTAACGACCACACATATAGAAAAGACGAATAGGGTTCTCATGTCGCTTCTCTAATGAGAAATGTCGAAACTTGTGCAAGAATCCAAAAATTGAGACAAAACTTAAAAAAAATCAACTTAGGGCTAGTAAACATAAATTGATTAGGGCTCTTACCTTGTACTACTGAACATGGCATCGTTGTCGATATTTCAACCAGAACCACCTGGAGTGACGTATAGGACGATGGTGGAGTGGCATGGCGGCGCTAGAGTGGGTGTCGCTGACTTGGTTTTGGTGGTGGTTGTGGTAGCGGTGGTGGGTTGCGCTTAATGGTGTGGAGATGGACTCGGAGAGAGAGTTGAGGGGTAGGAGAAGAAACAGGTGGTCATATTGAAGGGTGTGCGATAACCCAATTCGTCGTGAATGCGAAAGTACAAAGGAGAGAGGCGGAGGTATAACACTATACGGCAGAGGAAATGGCAACATAGTGGGGGAGTTTGGGTTCAGTACGATTTTTGCCGAGATATTTGGATTCTAGAGGATTCAATACGACTCGATCTAGGGCTAGGTCAAACGCTTTAATCAAATAATGAAACTTATGCATTGAGTGCTTGTATTATATGCTTAACTTAAATTATAATATTATTATATTGATGGTAAATTGTACATAAAGCTTAACAATTTGGACGTCTTAAAAAAATATTATTATTATATTCAATTTATTTTTAGAAATAGTAGAATTTCTTTTATAAGATAGTAAATATATATATATATATATATATATATATATATATATATATATAAAAGATGACAAGATTTCAAAGTTATATATTATTATTCTAAGTTGTAGGGTCTTAAATGAAAATATTGACAACTAAAATGGATTGGACGTACATGACGTTTTTCCATTGAATTTTATACAAGACACGAATTTATTCGTGTATTTATACATTTTAAGAATAAAGTCATCCACCAAACTTATCAGATCAATAACTTCCATTGGGATAATCTAAAAAACAGTACATTACTTTGATAAATTCAAAACCGTTGAAATAAATCATACTGTCACATTTACACATTTTAATAATAAAGTCCAATTACGGTTTGTATTAGGTATGTATTAAATATTTGTTTATTATAATATGGAATCACAATTAGTACCAGGTCCCTCGTACAGAACTCCAAAATCCAACCAAACAAAGCTTCACCTTCCACGACATTAATTCAAGGCATGATTCATAACACAAACACACACATATTCTCCACCGCATGCGACAAAAATACATACACAATGAATTATTCAGTCGAACTAATTTTGTTACTCATTTCTCTAGTTTTCCTCTTCTACGTTGTAGTTGTCCGTCGAATCAAGTCCAAATCGATAGATGGGGAAGCTCCTGAACTTAGCGGTGCATGGCCAATCATCGGACACCTCCACCTACTTGGTGGCGGTGACCAGCTTCTCTACCGTACACTAGGAGCCATGGCAGACAAATATGGTCCAGCGTTCAATATCCGGCTCGGAACCCGTCGTGCTTTTGTGGTCAGCAGTTGGGAAGTAGCTAAAGAATGTTTCACCATTAACGACAAAGCACTGATTTCCCGGCCCAAAACCGCCGCAGTGAAGCACATGGGCTATAACTATGCAGTGTTTGGCTTCGCCCCATACACTCCCTTTTGGCGCGAAATGCGAAAGATCGCCACCATTGAGCTCTTGTCCAACCGCCGCCTCGAGATGCTCAAAGATGTCCGTTCGTCGGAGATCAACTCTGAAATCAAAGAGCTGTACGAGAGATGGGCTGAAAATGGTCGTCTGCGTGTGGCTGTCGAACTGAATAAATGGTTGGAACACATGATGTTAAACATAGTTGTGATGATGGTGGCCGGAAAGCGGTACTTTGGCGTTGGAGGTGGTGGCCAAGAGGCAGAAAGGTGCAAGAAAGCCATCAATAATTTCTTCCGGTTGATTGGCATTTTCGTAGTATCAGACGCGGTTCCCTTTTTTTGGTGGTTGGATTTACATGGATACGAGAAAGAGATGAAGAAAACCGCAAAGGATCTGGATTTGGTTCTTGGAGGGTGGCTCGATGAACATCGGCAAAGAAGGAAATCAGATGTAGTGAGAAATAAAGACGACGTAAAAGATTTTATCGACGTGATGTTGTCGCTTGAAGACGAAGGTCAACTCTCAGGTTTCGAGCATGATTCAAATACAAGCATCAAGTCTACATGCTTGGTAAGTAATTATACTATAACTTTATATGAAGTTACAAGTTAATTTCACAAGTTTATTAATTGTAACACTCGAGTCATATATGCATGCATGCATAATATATATTACAGGCATTGATTCTAGGAGGTAGCGACACAACAGCTGGGACGCTAACGTGGGCTATCTCATTGTTGCTAAATCATCCTGATGCTCTAAAGAAACTACAACATGAGCTAGACGATGAAGTAGGTAAAAACAGACAAGTGGAGGAATCCGACATAAAAAACCTCGTATTTCTTCAAGCTGTAATCAAAGAAACTCTACGTCTTTATCCGGCGAGTCCGCTGCTAGGACCAAGGGAGGCGATTGAAGATTGTATGGTTTCTGGGTATAATGTGAAAGCTGGAACTCGATTGATAGTAAATGTATGGAAGATTCAAAGGGATAATACGATTTGGACCGATCCATCTGAATTTAATCCCGAGAGGTTTATAGGTGTTAAGTATGAACATGTTGACCTCAAAGGACAACAATTTGTGCTCATGCCATTCGGGTCGGGTCGACGTTCTTGCCCTGGGGCTACGTTTGGGCTTCAAGTGCTTCATTTGACTTTGGCTCGTCTTCTTCATTCGTTTCACTTGGATCTTCCAGGAGGTCTTCCGGTGGATATGACTGAGAGCCCTGGAATGACTATTCCTAAAAAGATGCCGTTGGAGGTGCTTTTGACCCCACGCCTTCCATCGGAGCTCTATGCTTAGTTGTATGTTGCTTTATGTTTTGTTTTCTCTTTTTGTCGTTTGTAAGAATGATATATATGAAGTGAAATAAGAATAACAAATTTCCATCACTTTCTTTGGAAGTTTATAATTCACATATATCCTTTAAATCCTTGATTATTCTACTTCAAATAATTCTTGATGAAAGTACATATTAGAACTGAAGTATAATAAAGACAGAAAACAAAAGAATCCCTGACACATATAAAATATAATTTATGATATGTGTGGAGTAAACAATCAATGTTAGGTGTTTAGTAAACAAATCTATGAAAATAAGTAAAACCGTAAAAAAAAAAAAAAAAAGAAGATAGTATAAAATCTCTATAGATCATAAACAAATCATTGAAACATATTTAGAGCTGAAGATTACAAATGGAGATAAGAGATTATGGTTTGTTGAAGTAGTGTGTTAATACAGAAATTCCCTTATTGTCGATATACCTTGAAGTATATAAATCTATTCAAAAGTCAATCTTGATTTTTTACGGATTTCCGATGTATCCATATTTTGAAAAGAAATAAAGAAAATATAGGATGCATTGGCTTGCCAAAATCTCGCAAAAGGGGCTGTACAAAATATAAATAGGCATGCAATCAACAATAATTAACTGCCAAATAATTGAAATTGTAACGGCCAATACATATCCGGACGATTAATTAAAAATCACGGCATAAATTAATTTGTCATTAAAAAATAAATTCCAATTTAATGAATTAAAAGTAAGATTCGACAAGACGAGTCCAATAATGAGTCAAGGCCATATCTTTGGACTTTGATCATCAATTAAGCCATATGCTAAGCCTATTTTGGTTACCCAAGAACATAATGTAAGCCCATCAACCTATAGTCCATTTTAGTCGATAAAATGATTGATTAAATAACTCCGTTAATGTAAGACTTTAATTACTATTTGTTTTATATAGAAAAATAATAATATATAACAAATCCATCCATCAGTTTGATCTAAAACGGAGACATTATCCTGTAAAATTTGAAAACCGCTTTTAACACTTTGTGATGGGAATGAACCAGAATGTTGATTGGAAAGCTTATTGGATCAGCAAACACATTTTTATAGCAGTTGGCTTCTTGAGGAGCAAGGCTTTCATATGCCAATGTAAACAGTTTTACATAGATTTAATTCACTTCTGATTTCTCATGGCTTTTTTTTTCCAATTTCTTCTTTTACAACATTCTACTTTGGAGAATCTTACCTAATTATGGCGATGTCATTGAAAAACTGTTTTCATGATTTGAACTGGAAAATAAGCAACCAACTTTGGAAAAAAATCAAATGTTTTTGATAAATTTTCAAAGTAGGCTGCTATTAAGAAAGACTTTCTAGTTTTGAAATTTTTTGCTATAATACGCTTTATTTATATTTAGATAACACATCAATACAAAAAAGTAAAAAAAAAAAAAAAAAAAGGTAAATTGATTAGTTTACGTTGACCATGAAAAAAATGACTATATTACCCTTCATCTAAGTGTGCCAAGTAAATGACTATATTAACCTTAGTTTCGGATCGACCCTCTTTTTAAGCAAACAGACTTCATCTCTCGAGGATGTAATGGAACTATCAATGTCAAAAATGTCCTCAAACTCACTGAAAATTAAGAATCGGAACAATTAGAATCGAGAAATATGAATTTCAATATATATAGGGAAGATGTATAGAGTAAACATAAACATTTAAATATCTAGAAATTGGAACCATATAAAAAATCTGCATTATGATTAATCCACCTGAATTACATAATGAAACTGCAGATCATTTAACAATATGCACGAGGAAAAAAATTAGGAATCAATAAATATATGACAACCACAAGAGTAATGAAACCATTCTTCACCTTGAGACTATTAAAAAAATCTTTATTGTTTTATTATTATTCCCTAGAAAAGACATGGAACATAGAAGAAACTAAAAAAAGATGAAAAACAGTAACATACCATGATTTTATGAGATTAGTTATTTAGGAATAACTCTCCTCTAGTTCTGTTAGTCTTATCATCCAGCCAAAATTTAACATTTATGGCTTTAATAATAATAATAATTTCTTAAATGGTGATGTAAAAAGAAAACAATAGCAAGGTACACTTTTATTGTAACATGTAATCATATCACCAAAGGAAAGTAAGTTGTAAAACCTTAAGTTTCGTTGCCAGAGTTGCTAGAACAATCTTTTTTGAAAAAATAACCTATTCACTATGTGTTTGTCATAATCCATCATTAAATTAATTACACACTATAATCATCATTTAATTGTACAGTTCCAAAAAATAACATTGCCACTTGAACCAAATATTACTAACCTGGAAGCCTTTCAATTAGATATGACCTTGTACATTCATTCCAAACCTGAGAAAACAAACAATCTTTCTGCTTTTTTATTCTCTTCTCACAAAAAAGCAGCATGAACATAAAAATGGCAAAAGAAATTAGTCATTAAACTGTAAGTGATCCCAAAACTAAGCTTACCTTAATAAAAC